TGGCTGGGAGTCAAGGGCAGGAGCTTTGGTCTTTTCAGGGGCTTCAGCTCAGATGCGCCCTCACCGAAGACCCTTTTCTCTGGCTTGCCACGGCCTCTGGCCACGAGATTAACCCCCTCGGATGGACGAGCTGGCCATGGGGGGTGGCGGGGGGCGGGGGCGAGGTGGGGAGTCTAGGTTTTTATTTCTCTCTCCACGTGCAATTGAATTCTGGGGCACAGAGAGGAAAGGAGGAAATTCTATTTAAGGAAGTTACCTGTGGGTTTCTAATTAAAATTAGAATTGGGTGAAACCAGAGGCCATTTTATTTACAGATTCTGCAGTTCTTAGAAATGGCTTCCGGTGGGCTTTAAGTAAAGACACGGTTCTGCCGTAAATTCCACGTTGTAGCAGGCGGTAGGTGAGCCCTTGGCTCCAAGCAACGCCCATTTGCAGAGCAGCAGAGAAGAGCCCGCACTTCTGTAGGGGAGGAGCGACCTTCCGTGGGGCGAAGGTGTGACCAGCGGTCACAAGGGGGACCTGAGCCTCACGGTCCTTGCTTGTACTGTAACGCCCTTTTCAGAGCAGGAAGCAGCACATGGCCCTCCTAGCTGCCTTCTCGGCTTTTTTTATTTCCCGGGATATTCTGACTTCCATCAGAACCACCTGGGCTTCCTGGAACGGGGGCGAAGCTCCTTCACAAGTGATCAATTATAAACGTGCGCGACGTGCGTGGCTTGGCCTCCACTCTCTGCACTTAGGTGTGTGAAGCCCTTTCTATGATCCGGCCTCTGGGAGTCGATGTATTTTGCTATAATGACCATCTGTTCCTGGGTATCACATTTGCCGGCTGAAACCCGGTTTGATGTAGATAAACATGTAATTTGGTGCGATTACATAGTTTCACCAGCTGGCAACACAATAGCAAAGTTTGGTGTTTACTGTAAGCTGGTAGCCCAGCAGCGGTCAGCGGTCAGTGTGTGGCCTTTGTCCTGCCTGCTCTCCTCGCAATGCTCAGAGTTGTGTGCTGACCAGAACACTGGCGGGCTCTGTGCTCACGGCCACCACCAGGCTGCCAGGGGACGGGGAGGCCTGACCAGGGCTGCGGGAGACAGGGGGCCCTGGTGGCCCACTGCGGGGGTCCGGGAGGTGTCCTGGTTCCCTGCAGACCCCCGCCCTGAGGTAGAGGAGCTGCCGGTGGCTCTGAGGGACAGAGGCCCAGGGCAGCAGCTTGTCCCTTCAGCCGGGCGGCAAGGCCAGGGCCGAGGGAGCCTGTGGTACCAGCCCAGGGCTGCTCCTCACACACTAGCCGGGCCCCCTGACTCTTGGGCCACCTCTGCACTTGCCCAACCACACGTGACCCTGGGCCTTGCATCCCTGCAGCCCCCGCCTAGCCCTGGGGTCTCTGACGTGCCCTGTCCGGGCCCTGCTGCCCCCTTTCCTGGCCTCCCTCCTGCCCCTCTTCCTCCCAGGCCCCAGGGGGCCTCAGCGCCCCCCGAGTGTTGGCTCTGAGGTGCGTGGGAAGGTGGGGGCCGGGGACGGGATCAGGGAGCCTGGAGCTTCCGTGTGTTCTTGGAGGTCAGGGCTGAACTGGCTTCTGCACGCCCAGGGGACACCAGGGAAGGGGGGGTTGGCACACGTGGGTGCCCAGGGGTGCTCTGGGGTCATATCCAGGGACAGTGTCTTTGTGCTGTGCCATGGCCTGAAGCCACTTGCCATGCCACTGCAGTCTGGACAGAGGGTCGGGGTCAGCTGGACGGAGGGTTGGGGTCAGCAAGGCCAGGTGCTGGCTCCCAGGACAGGCTGGACTCAGGTCCTGCTGTCTGGAGTCCCGCGTGGCTGTACCATGTCCATGCTGCGTCTGACCCTCACTCGCCCCAGCACCCCAGGCCCAGGGCGGGAGCAGGCCTGTTCTGGGGAGAACGGGGCCCAGTGGGTGTCTTCGGGGCCCCCAGGGGCTCCCAAGGCCCAGGGCTCTCTGCAGTTTCTCCGTGCTGGTTCCCTGGGGGGGTGGGACACAGGGCGGGCTCGGAGGCCATGGACACGTGTGGTGGTTCTGGGGCCACTTCAGTACTGGAGCCGCTTCTGTCCCCAGACCCGTCTTTGAGAATTTAACGTGGTGACTGACACTGGCTTACAGAAGTGTCCATCTCTGCAGACTTTAGGGGTACGGGGCCACACACGCTGCCCGGCACCCCCAGGGTTCGTCTCCTTCCCAAGCCAGGATCGCTGGGCCATGGAGTGGACACGCCCTGTGGGCTCTCTGGGTCACTGTCTTCCTCTCTCCGGGGACCCCGAGAGTTCCTTTGGGTGCCCCCTTCTCTCCCCATGGGATCATGCCCCACCCCTGCCCTGGAGCTCCTGGGGACAGCAGCTGGGGTTGTGTCAACCTGAGCATGACCCGGGTTGAGTCCTGTGTCCTGTGTCCGTTGCTCCCCGGGGACCCCTTCATACCAGTGCAGAGCCGGGGTGCTCGGGGAGGGAGACGGGGCTGTGAAGGGTGTGTGCAGGTGGGCGTCTGTGTAAACAGGTAAACGCAGGTAAACAGGAGACCCGTGGGGAGAGGGGACTAGGAAGGTGTCCGGGGGTGACAACTGAGCCCCTCCTCCCCGAGGACCCTCTCATACTGCAGAGGGGTGCCCTGTGGAAGCGGAGGACAGACTGGCTGGACACGTGGAAGGGCCCAGGAGGGACTCGAGTGTCTCCGTGGCAATCGTGACCCTGGGGCACGCATAGCGGGGAACCTCGGCCATGTGGCCAGGGCTGGGAGTGGGGCGAGGTGGGCCCGAGGTGGCCATGCCCGTGTGTGGACATTAGCCTGTGGGGGCCAGTTCTCTGGGGGCGGTCAGGACTGGCAAGGCCTGCTTTCTGGGCGGGGGCCGGAGGCTGGCTGAGGCCCGAAGCTCACGCCAGCTTGGGGACGGGTTCTGGCCGCGCACACACCTGGGTGAACGGGAGGGAGGCGGGTGGGCGCAGGCCTGCCCGGGGCTGTCTAAGGCTTGTGTCCTGAGGGCCGCAGAGGCAGGGCAGCCGGCAGGGGTGGACGGGGGAAGTCGCACGTGCAGGGACGGGGGTCCACCGTGCCCTCACCGTAGCTGGTGTGGGAGCATGGGGCTGTGTGGGGACAGGAGGGGGCAGTGGCCAGCTCAGGGTCCTGGCTCAGCATCCCACACCCCCATCGTTCTGGGGGCGTGCAGGGGGGCTGCCGGGTGGGGCTCCCCGTGCTTGCCAGGAGGCCCCAGAGCAGGGCAGTGCTGGGCCTCGCTCCTGCCCGAGGCCAGGATGCCACGTTCCTCCCCGAGACCTGAGGCCTCTGTGTGCTACACGCTGACACCCAGATGCACAACAGCTGTGTGCAGGCAGCTGGGCGCACAGGTGCATGGAGGGGGCATGTGTGTATGTGTGCTTGTGTGTGTGCGTGTGTGTCCGTATGTGTGTGCGTGTGTGTGTGTGCACGTGTATGTGTGTGCGCACGTGTGTGTGCGTTTGTGCGCATGTGCACATGTATACATGTGTGTGTGCATGTGTGTGTGTGCTCGTCCAGAGGTCCTATAGGCGGCGGCGCTGCGTACGGGCTCATGCACATTTGTGCTCTGTTCCCGGGACTCGTGTGTGCTCGTGTGTGCGTTTGTGCTCCTGTTCACAGCAGGTGGTGTGTGCTCGGGCGTCTCATCTTCGCAGAACGGGGTATGTGCCCACACTCTTGTCCATGGGAGGCTGTCCGTACGCGTGTGCTCGGGTGGCGGGAGGGGGCTGCACACGTGTGTGCTGTGCTGGAACAGGCGTGCGTGTCCCCGGGAGGCGTTGCGTGCGCCCCCCGCCCCGGAGGCCTGTTTGCAGGCTCCGCTGCTCACGTGCTGCCCCCGTGCCCCGCAGCGGCCCCTGGGGTGGTCGGGGGCTGCATCTCCTGTCGCCGTGCGGGAAGATGCTGTGCTCTTTGCCACGCACCCTCAGGACCTGGCTCTGATAATGTGATAATGAGTGATTCTATTTAATGAGACACCCCGCGCGGGTCATCGCGGTGCATTTTAATAGAGCCTTTCTGGCAAATATCTTAACCCCAGACGTCCCACGTCGACGGAGCACAGTGCTGTGGGTCGTGGGCTGGAAACAGGAGGGACGAACACAGGGTGGCTGGTGGGTAAGTCGAGAGACGTGGCCGGGATCACGGGGCGTGGCTCAGGCCGGTGGCAGGGCCTCAGCTGCCAGGAGTCACCCTCACTTTGGTGCTTCCTCTGGGAAGCTGCCTGGACTCCAGACAGTCCCCACGTGCCACGGGGCTGCCGCCAGTGGGCAGTGGCATTCGCCCGGTTGCACATCACAGATACTGTCATGGTGAAATGCATGTGGGGTGCAGAGCTGTGATCCCCCTGCCCTTGTCTTTCCTGGGGGTCACAGCCACCCCACCCAAACATCCATCAGTGTCCTCTCCCCAGGGAAAACTGATCCCTGCACCCCTTGCCCACCCCGCCCGGCTCCTGGACCCCCCCATCTTGCTCCAATGGGACCTTCCCCTGCAGGTCCTGGGTGGCCCTGAGGACGCAGAGCTGATGTCCTCAGCTTTGTGCTCCTGCAGCGGGTGTCCCCGAGGGTTCCTTCCTGGGGCTGACCCCAGTCCCACTTGCCTGGACGCATCTCCTTCCGGCCACCCTGGGGCGATGAGCGGCCACGCCCTGGGGTCTGGGCACCTGAGTGCTGAGTTTTGCACCGTTTCACGAGGCTGCATCCTGCGGAGCAGAGCAGGGCATGTGGCCCCAGCGCAGGGTCTGGGGGATGCTGTCTGGGGCCCCACTGTGGGCTGCAATGATGGGAAGGAGGGAGCTGGGGGCTGGGAGGAGGCACCGCCCCCCCACCCCCAAACACACTCCTTGGTGGCTGAAGCTCTGTGTTGAAGGAGGGGACGTGGCTGCCTGGGGTGTCCGGTCTTGGCTGCGGCCGAGACCCCCTTGTGGGCGCAGCAGGGGGCGGGGGGCCTGGGGGTCTTCTCGCCGCCGCTTCTCACCCGCCTCCGTCTCTTCCAGCTTACGTCCCCGAGGAGGAGCTGAAGGCCGCAGAGGTCCAGGCGGAAGCCACAGAGGAGGACGGCCCGTCTCTGGACGCGCCCGACGGCGAACATGAGTGCGCCACCGCAGAGGATGGGGACGCCCAGGAGGCGCCCAGCTACCAGGACTCCCCACTCAGCACCGCCACCAACCAGGACGCCGCCTATGGGTCCCCCTTCAGCGAAAGCAGCGACCAGCTGGCACCCTTCAAGGGCCCTGCGTCCCGGGAGGAGAAGGAGGAGCCGCCACCGGCCGCCACCGCTGCCGCCGCCGGGGACAGTGCCGCGTCCTACCCGCAGGACAGCCTGGCCCAGATCAAGGCCGTGTACGCCAACCTTTTCTCCGAGTCCTGCTGGTCCAGCCTGGCCCTGGACCTGAAGAAGTCCGCCGCCACCACCAGCAACGGCGATGCGGGCCAGAAGGACGGCGCCCCGGCCGCGCCCACGCCGCCCGCCGGCCCCGCCGCCAGCACCCCCGCCCCCGCCCCCGGCTCCAGCACCAGCACCGGCGGCTCCGGCTACGACTGGCACCAGGCGGCACTGGCCAAGACGCTGCAGCAGACGTCCAGCTACGGGCTGCTGCCCGAGCCCAGCCTGTTCAGCACCGTGCAGCTGTACCGGCAGAACAACAAGCTCTACGGCTCCGTGTTCACGGGCGCCAGCAAGTTCCGGTGCAAGGACTGTAGCGCGGCCTACGACACGCTGGTCGAGCTGACCGTGCACATGAACGAGACCGGCCACTACCGCGACGACAACCGCGACAAGGAGGCCGAGAAGACCAAGCGCTGGTCCAAGCCCCGCAAGCGCTCGCTGATGGAGATGGAGGGCAAGGAGGACGCCCAAAAGGTGCTCAAGTGCATGTACTGCGGCCACTCGTTCGAGTCCCTGCAGGACCTCAGCGTCCACATGATCAAGACCAAGCATTACCAGAAAGTGCCTCTGAAGGAGCCCGTGCCAGCCCTCGCCAAGCTGGTGCCCTCCACCAAGAAGCGGGCCCTCCAGGACCTGGCGTCCCCCTGCTCCCCCGAGCCCGCGGGCGCCGCCGCCGAGCCGGCCCCGGGCGAGGCGGCCAAGGACCAGAAGGCCGCCAACCCCTACGTGACCCCCAACAACCGCTACGGCTACCAGAACGGCGCCAGCTACACGTGGCAGTTCGAGGCCCGCAAAGCACAGATCCTCAAGTGCATGGAGTGTGGCAGTTCCCACGACACCCTGCAGCAGCTCACGGCCCACATGATGGTCACCGGCCACTTCCTCAAGGTGACCACGTCCGCCTCCAAGAAGGGCAAGCAGCTGGTGCTGGACCCCGTGGTGGAGGAGAAGATCCAGTCCATCCCCCTGCCGCCCACCACGCACACCCGCCTGCCCGCCGCCCACGTGAAGAAGCAGCCCGAGTCCCCCGCGGCCGGCCCCGCGCCCGACGACAAGAAGGAGCCCGAGAAGGAGAAGGCGCCCGTGGCGGCGGCGGGGGGCGGCGGCGGGGGCCGGGGAGGTGGAGAAGAAGATCAAGGAGGAGAGCGAGGAGCTCGCCGAGCCCACAGCCCCCTACCAGTACCTGCGGGAGGAGGACCTGGACGACAGCCCCAAGGGCGGGGTGGACATCCTCAAGTCCCTGGAGAACACCGTGTCCACGGCCATCAGCAAGGCGCAGAACGGCGCGCCCTCCTGGGGCGGCTACCCCAGCATCCACGCCGCCTACCAGCTGCCCGGCGCCGTGAAGCCGCTGCCCGCCGTGCCCGTGCAGAGCGTCCAGGTGCAGCCCAGCTACGCGGGCGTGAAGCCGCTGCCCGCTGAGCACGGCGCCCTTCTGCACTCGCCCGGGACCCTCACGCCGCCCCCGCACAAGAGCAACGTGTCGGCCATGGAGGAGCTGGTGGAGAAGGTCACGGGCAAGGGCAAGCGGGACGAGAGGCCGGCCGAGCAGGACAAGGGCTCCCCGGCCAAGACGGCCTCGCCCGCCGCCGCCGCCAAGGAGAACAGCAAGGAGGGGCCGCGGGCCGAGGACGCGGGCGGGGCCAGGCCGCTGCCGCCGAGGAAGGGCCCCGAGGGGGACGCGGCCGGGAAGGCCAGGAAGGAGGCCTCCTCGGTGGGCGACGGCCACGCCCACAACGGCACCGAGACCCCCAGGCCCAAAGTCACCAACGGCTGCAACAGCCTGGGCGTCATCACCGACCACCCGCCCGAGCCCTCCTTCATCAACCCGCTGAGCGCCCTGCAGTCCATCATGAACAGCCACCTGGGCAAAGTGTCCAAGCCCGTGAGCCCCTCGCTGGACCCGCTGGCCATGCTCTACAAGATTAGCAACAGCATGCTGGACAAGCCCGCCTACCCCGCCCTGCCCGGCAAGCAGGCCGACGCCATCGACCGCTACTACTACGAGAGCAGCGACCAGCCCATCGACCTGACCAAGTCCAAGAGCCGGGCGCTGGGCGCGGGCGCCGCCACCGCCGACACCGCGGCCTCCCCGCTGCGGGAGAGCGCCCTCCTGGACATCTCGGACATGGTGAAGAACCTGACGGGCCGCCTCACACCCAAGTCCTCCACGCCCTCCACCGTGTCCGAGAAGTCGGACGCCGACGGCAGCAGCTTCGAGGAGGCGCTGGACGAGCTCTCGCCCGTCCACAAGCGCAAGGGCCGGCAGTCCAACTGGAACCCGCAACACCTGCTCATCCTGCAGGCCCAGTTCGCCTCCAGCCTGCGGGAGACGCCCGAGGGCAAGTACATCCTGGCGGACCTGGGCCCGCAGGAGCGGGTGCACGTGTCCAAGTTCACGGGCCTGTCCATGACCACCATCAGCCACTGGCTGGCCAACGTCAAGTACCAGCTGCGCAGGACAGGGGGGACCAAGTTCCTCAAGAACCTGGACACGGGACACCCCGTGTTTTTTTGCAACGATTGTGCCTCTCAGTTCAGAACTGCGTCCACGTACATCCACCACCTGGAGACGCACCTGGGCTTCAGCCTGAAGGACCTCTCCAAGCTGCCCCTGGGGCAGGTGCAGGAGCAGCAGAGCGCGGCCAAGGGCCTGGGCGGCAAGGCCCTGGGCCCGCTGGCCGCCGCCGAGGACGAGCTGGGCTCCACGTTCCAGTGCCGGCTCTGCAACCGGACCTTCGCCAGCAAGCACGCGGTGAAGCTGCACTTGAGCAAGACGCACGGCAAGTCCCCGGAGGACCACCTCATCTACGTGGTGGAGCTGGAGAAGCCCTAGCCCCGGCCCCCCGCCCGAGGCCCGGACTGAGCCTCCGAAATCAGCCCCCGCCCGCCCCGCCGAGCGGCCTGTCTGGACCCGGGTTTTTCTTACACACGTTTTGTAGCTCTATTTATATGCTCTCTGTCCGATCTGTGCATGTTATTTTTTTTCTGCCGTGAGTCAAAGTCTGACCTTTATTTTCAACATCTGTTCTTGATGTTAAGCTATCTTTTCTAGCAAAGAGCGGGGCGCACTGCTCAGAGAGACGTTTATTTAGCAGGAGAGAAAGACACAAATAACAATGATCAGAGACATCCTAAAATTACGAAGTTGCCATGACAATAAAGGTCATAGGGCCTGTAGTGTCAGATTTAACCCTTTGAGGACTGTAATCGTGTACCTGTGCCTTTCACTCGGAAAAAAGAAAACCAGAAAGAAAAAAAAAGGCTTAAAGGCATTTCATTCAGATCAAAAGCTGTGTCAGACACACAACTTATTTAATAATTAAAACACGAGCTTTTATCTGCAGGACTGGTTTGTGAAGGAAGCGTGCCCGCGTGCGGCGGTCGGGAGTCGCCGGAGACTCACGGGGTTGTCAGGAAGCCACGACTCTATCCACTAAAACAAGAACCCGAACCACCACAAACACCCCCGTGGCCACTAAGCCCAAACCCTCTGGATGCTGAAAATGCCACTTTTGGCAAAAAAAACAAAAAAAAGAAAAAAAAGAAAAAAAAAGTATGCAAGCTATTATTTAAAAAAAATGTGTAAAAATGCTATTTCTTTTTTCCTGTAAAATACTGCAGTTTATAGTTATTTACAAATGTAAGCTTTGGTACAAGCTGACCTTTCTATAGCGTGCTGCATTGGTAAATGAAAAAAAGGGGCAAACGTTGGATTCCTTCTCTGTAAATTGCCGACATCAGCTTAAAAACTCTATGTTCCATCTCACACCGTTTTAATCTATTCCACTTTCTTTGTACCTTCTGGCTGTATGCTTTCTCTTTCGACTTTTTATATTGTCATTTTATATTAAATTTCTGTGTATATACTGTAAAACCACAATTTTGGAATAAAATTTAGTTCCTGCAGCTTGATTTAAATAGAGAGATCTCACCGGCCACAGCATCGTCCCGATGCATGTATATCCGACAAAAATGAATACATGGAAACAAAGCGAGCCCTGCACTATTAATTGCCCATTTTGATGTCCTATCATTAATATTGTACAGTACATTTTGGTTCACACGATTAAATCCACTGTTTTCTCAAATGTAAAATAAACCCACACGCGGTTCTCGATTTACATCGATTGTCCTGTCGTCCTTCCTTTGCCATCGAGCGTGAGTTGGTTCGGCAGCCAGAGGGAACGCAGCTGACGGGAACCCCGTTTGGAGTCATCAGCCCGGGATGTGTCTGCCGACTCGCTTCATTCAGATGAGACGCATTGCGTTTTTTCCTGAGAGATAATTAAGATTTTTGGCTCCGCGGGGTGTCGCGGATTACTGAGTTCAGTAATCACCCTGCGTGATGCTCTCCGGGTGCGGGCGGGCTGAGGTGGTCCTCCTGACTATCTGGGGATTCGTGACGAGGCTCTGGGGCCGTCTCTGGTGAGGCCAGACCCCAGCGCCTCGGAGCTGGTCACAGGTGAATTCTGCGCTCTTGCTTTCGGTGAGAGTGTGTAGGTTTGGGGCCACGCCCGGCGGCACTCGGGGCTTGCTTTCCTCCTGGCCGCGCTCTGTGCTCTGTGCTCAGGGTCTCTCCTGCCGGGGCAGGGCACCGAGGCCAGGCTGCCGTGAAGGAGCGCCCTTCTCGCCGTGGTGTTGCAGACCAGCTCCTTCCCGCCAGTGCTGGGAGCAGACTCACTTCTGCTGCTTTCCTCCTTGCAAGAGACCCCAGGGCCCCCGGGGCTCACTGCCTCGCGACGGTATCGGGAGCTTCTTCATACCCTGCAGTGCCTAACGACAGGAGCAGAGAAAGTTCTTTCTCGCCCTTTGGCTTCCGTCCTCCTCAAGCTGTGCCCTGAGCAGTTGGGGATTTTCTGTTTTATTTTGTGCCGGGGGCCATACCCGGCAGGGCTTCCTCTGCTCAGGGATCACTCTTGGCAGGCCCCGGTGAACATATGGGGTGCCTGAGATGGGACCCAGGTCGGCCACGTGCAAAGAGGCCAAGGGACTCCCTGCTGATTGCCGCTCGGGCCTGGAGGCTGAGGCTCGAGGCTCCCCCTGGGTCATTTCTCCCCTCAGCTGCCTGGTGGGTTTCCTTGGAGGGTTGGGGGCACCAGGGATGGGGCCCACATCTGCCTGGCAGGAGTGTGGTTTCTCTGTGCTCCTGCCTCCTCGGTAAAGCGCTTGGGGCCCAACTGAGATGGTTCAGCTCAGTTCCTGGGCAGTGACTGCAGGGCGGGAGGCAGGGGAGGGTGGAGTGGGAAGGTGGCGGGCCTTCCCTGGAGCGCAACAGGAGCCCGACCCTGAGCTGGGGAAGCCTCTTGTCTTGGAGCTGGCGGGGCCCCAGGCGGGAGTCCTGGTCCCACACACCTCCTCATCCAGCACCCGGCGGCACTGTGAACACTCAGAAACTGTTTGTGCAAAGAACCATTTCTGTTTTCCCCTTGTCCCTAATCTTGACTGTTATTTCTCCGAAGACGATGGAGGCCGTCGGAGGTTGGTCATTGAACGGTAAGCATAAAAGACGCCAAAGAGTAAAATCGGAGAGCGTTGTAGCTCTTGGAGAACTTTATTCTTATAATAAAAGTAATACACAGCCATTGCCAAAAATGCGGAACACAAAAAGGAAAGAAATAAAACATTAACTGTAGTTTCCATCCAGAGAAACCCGCTGTGAATGTTTCAGTGCACATGTCTTCCTGCCCATCCGCTGAAGACACAGAGCTCACGGTGTCTCACCTGAGGGTCAGCGCCGCCGTCCTCCCATTCTGTTGACTGTCCAGTTTCCAATCATATTCCAATGTGCTCTCATCTCACGAATTCTCTATTAGCATCTCCGACAGCAATATCTACATCCAGATTCTTTTTCTACCTTTTTGTTTTTCCTTTCTGCTTTTGGACAGGGGCAGAGGTTGAACCCAGAGCCTCACGCTGGCACGTGGTGGCCACTGACCTCCCGGCCCCTTCTATCCTTTTCTTCACCTCTCACTCCCACAGATGAGCCCCAGGCGCTCCCCGCTCCAGGCATATACGGATGTTTCTGTTTCCTGGGCTCAGCTCTGGAGTCGACTTTCCGCTCCGTAGCATCGAGTCCGGGGGCACCAGCTGACCCATGGGCTGCGCAGACTCTGTCTTGGCCTCTTTCCCCTCACTGCGCAAGGTAAGTTGGTGCTGTAACACGGACAGTATCGAGGTGCCACTGTTGGGAACATAAATCCTTCTTTCGGGCGCTGCCTCCACGTGCATCATGACTTTACATCAGGCCAGGTGGCCGGCACATGCTCTGCAGACACACGCTCTGACCTGTGGCCCCTGGGACTCCCCCACGCGCACTGTGGCTCCACGTGACCCGAGGACACGCAATCGGACGTCTTGTCATCGGGAGACAGAGCCCCAGTTCCGTGGCCTCGTCACTCATGACCACAAGTACCAACCGGTCAGATGAAGGGCATCGGAACATGCCAGGCCAAGTCCCACCCCTCCAGGAAGGCGGGGTCTCCGCCAGCCCCTCCGTCCAGCCTCCCCGAAGTGAGTTGGTGCCAGAGCTGAAGGAGGAAGAGACGATTAGTGGTCTGATGGCAGCCAAGGCTCTCTGGGCTTGGCTGCAACGTAGAAGGTCCCCCCCTCCACCTGCCACTCACCGGTGCCTTGGTCAGCGTGTCCTCACGGGGCTGCAGTGGGCACTGCAGGGCCTGCCTGCACCCCAAGCCACCCCGAAGCTGAGTGGATGGAGCACATTTAGATATTCGAGGGATACCCACATGCTTCCCCGGGCGCTGGTGGTTGTGGATGGTTAGTGGCTGGATGGTCACGCCTGTCACCTCTGGTGCCGCATGGTCGATCCAGAGGCTCGCGGCCTCTGTCTGGGGTGAGTGCAAAGGTCTCACAGTGACTCAGCTGCCCACGGTGTGGGATGGCCGTCAGGAGCTGCGGCCGCCTTGCCGTACATGCTGACGGGGACAGATTGATTTGTTTTTATTTTTTTTAATGTTGCAGGTGGCTGGCAACCATTTATTTTTATCATGCTGTTTTTTTTTTTTTGCACTGTTTGGTGGGTTTACGGTGATGGGAAATTTCCCGTCTCTGTTCTGATGCTCGTCACGGCCCCAGGAGGCCCCCAGGCCCTTGCCCTCCCCTCCTGTACCTGCCAGTTTGCTCCAAGTCAAGAGGTTCCTTTCACTTTGGGGCCGGTTTTTATTTTCCCTAGTCAGGCACTCTCTGTGTGAATGACCCCCCCCCCCCCTTCATGGCACCTTCTTGACTCGACTTCATATCCTCTCAAATTCCGCCCAGCTTGTCCCCCAAGGACTATTTCGTCGGACAGACACAGCTCCTTCGTGCAGTCAACGGTGGGTCCATCTGGGTCCTGAAAATCTGGCTGCTGTGATGGGCAGGGCCCCCATTGGAGAAGTGGCCAGGAAGATATTCCAGGCTCACAGTGAGTGCCTGGGGTTCCACATTTGCCTTTTTAAAAGGACTCTTGTTTTATTAGTGTTTTCTAGTTTCTTTTTTCTTTTTTTCTCTTTTGCTTTTTGGGTCACACCCGGCGATGCACAGGGGTTACTCCTGGCTCACGCACTTAGGAATTACTCCTGGCAGTGCTCAGGGAACCATATGGGTTGCCGGGAATCGAACTTGGTGGGTAGGGCGTTTGCCTTGCACATGGCCAACCCGGGTTCGATTCCTCCGCCCCTCTCGGAGAGCCCAGCAAGCTACCGAAACTATCCCGCCCACACGGCAGAGCCTGGCAAGCTCCCCGTGGCATATTCGATGTGCCAAACACAGTAACAACCAGTCTCACAGTGGAGACGTTACTGGTGCCCACTCGAGCAAATCGATGAGCGACGGGAGGACGGGGCCACGGTGCTTGTTTCACGTCGGTAGCAGCCACCCACTTCCAGTCCCTCCCAGCGAGGGAGCCAGGACCCTTGCTGCAGCCTCCCAGTGCCCGTGGCTTGCCACCTGTGTGCCGTGGGCCAGTCCTGGGGTGTGCGGTGCTGTCTTGTGGCTCAGATCCGTATCCCCTCTCGTGAGCGAGGGGACAACTTTGCCCACGGTCTGGGCCGGGCACGTTGGGCATGTGCCCGCCTGGAAGTCGATGCCCTTCATTCCGTATTCCAGCCCCACCAGTGTTTTATCTAAGAATTCAATTTTTTTGTTTTACTCTACATATAAATGAGATCATATGGTATTTATTCTGCTCTGTCTGACTTACTCCATTTCATCAAATTTAAATAAGCTGAAAAAGAAAGTCATTTGTGGTTGGAGAGAAGGCGTCGCTTGCAGATGCTCCGAGGAGAGGCTGGTGGGACCGAGAATGTTCGACACAGGCCCCGCGCCACAGCTTCTTCTCTGGGAGGGTGTTTGCCCCCAGCTACTCTCCTGAAAGGGACGAAGGAGTTTCTTGAGGATCGACACTTTCCAAAATATGCAAATAATCACGCAAATCCCACACGGGAAAGGGGGCCACTCGCGGAATCCTCAGACCGCTGGATTTCCTCGGAGTTGATACAAAGCACTGCATGAGTCCCAAGATTAAAACATTTTTCTCCTTTAAGTAAATTTTTATGCATTTATGCATGCTTTCAGAGTAATCTTTCCAATTTTATCCAACTGACTGAAACTAAGAATTTCCTTTTCTCTTTGCAGAATAACAAAATATGGGGGTGTATAATAAGAGCTATGGAATAATAAATGAAGAAAAGTGGGAGTTTTTGAATCCTTTATGACCTGTGAAGGTTTAAATTATATATTGAATCATGTTTCAAGCCTCAGCTTTCTGATACATATTTCACATCATTATGCCCAATTTATATTGATTAATGATTGATCAATTAATAATTATCCTTGCCAATTTCAGCTCTGACTCCTTAAAGTCATCAGAATTCCAGAAGGTAAGTGTTTAGTGATGTTTTGATTTATTAACCTTAAGGGACAATGGTGCCCTACGTGCGTTTGTTTTACAAAGTAGTAAAATCTAACATTGACTCTCAGAGCCCTCTGTCCCCCGGGAGGGCCCGATCTTCCTCGTGACAGCCACGGATCCACCAGGAATTGCCTGGGTACCAGGAGGCTGGGTGCCTAGGGGAGCCGGTGTCAGCAGGGACAGGACGTGACCAGAGCTGGCTGCTTCAGGCTC